CCCTCCCTCCCTCCCTTCCACTCTAAAAATCAGTGGAAAAAATATCCTCTGGTGAGGGTTAACAACAACAACAACAAAAAGTATTTATTAGATGCCTAGAGAGTGGGTTAGATGATGTGCTGAAAATATAGCTTCATACAAAGTGGATATAGTTGTGAAAGGTTAGAATATTCATCCCAAGCTGTGTCATGCTGTTTTTGAAGAGTTATTTCAGAGTACGTCAGAAATTCTCTGGAAGCCAGATTTTTTCCTGTGCGATACAGCCATTCCATTATGATGAATTCGATGGGCTTACTTTGTCTGTCTCCTGGAGTTAACTCTTCAGTTTATCCATTGTTCACTTTAGTTTCCCTTTGCGGCCTTTTCTTACTCTTAATAGCTCAACCAGAAATTGGGCCAGGAAAGGAGAAATTCCTATAATTCTGCGTCCTACAGTTAACATCCCACTTGTCTGTGGATTTAGTTAGGCAGTTTTTATACATCATAGCTAGGTCTTTAAATCAGTGGAGTTTCCTGCCAAACCTACCTTCCCAAAGCCCAGATCTCAAAGCCTTTTCCTATCACAGAGTTCTTCCTATTTTTCTCATCCTGTTTTTTCTGTTTTATATAAAATTATGAAAGGTGTTCTCATTCAGTTTCCTAGCATACCACTAAAAGATACTGCTGATTTGAGGCATAGAGAGATCTGACATTGAAAGAAAGATCAATAATAATTATAAAATTATGTCAGAATATGTAAACGCATTATTATTCCAATAAGATGATGTAATAGGATAAAGCATCTCTCTCTTCTGGGTCTTTAAAGACATTACTTTTCTAAGGCAGTGTTATAGTCTGTTTGTGGTTATCCTAAAATTATCAAGAAAATTTTAATCAGTAAAAGAGAAGCAGTTTCACTAATCAGAGGGAAATTATTGATATATAACATTGACTGCATTACAGCTGCCCAGAGGTGATACAGTTAATGGATCCCTCATATCCAGTGTCTTCAGAAGTAAGAGAGAATTTGTCTGAGATCAGAAACTTGATCTCATATCTCACTTCTCACTGTGCTCAGCCCAGCATTGTGAGCACCTGCTTGTACTCAGTGCATTCTTGCTAGAAAGCTGCTTTAATGTGGCTCTATTATCAACTGCTGAAGTTGCTACTTCCAACAGTTCTCAGAACTTTCTGTAATTCTAACAAGATAGTGTCTTACTATGCCAGACTTTCAAAGTAGGACTTTTCTCATTATTTTTATTTCTTAGTAGCTGACTTGACACCTTTTGGTTTTCTGTCTTATTGATTCATGTTTTTAAAAACATAGCCTGACCCAGAATTAAGTGTATCTCCTTTCTATCCTTTTAATGGTGTTTCTGGCTAATTTTTGAAGGGTCATGTTGATCTTAGTGGAGAATGAGAGGTTGTCAAATACTGCTTTATAGCCTTTGGTTTTTAGTTGTCTTTGCAATTAAGAATGTTTGCCGAGTACTGATTGTGTTTTAGGGAGGAACTGTGAGTGTTACAGGGGTGGGTAAGACACACTGCTTACTGTCAGGGGATATGAGACTTAATGTTTCAACTACTGTACCTTTATTATAGTTTTTTAAAAGAGAAATTCTTTCAACTTATCAGTAAGATAAAGAAAATTTTAGTTTTTCCTCATGTACAATAATTTCTGCTCTTGGAACCTGCTGGAGAAAATGTCTAAAGAGCTCAATTTAAAATATCTTTGCTCCCGGCCAGGTATGGTTCAGCCGTTGAGCGTCAACCTAGAATCCAGGCAATCGGGGTTCGATTCCTGGTCAGGGCACATGCCCGGGTTGCAGACTAGGCAGCTGATCAATGACTCTCTCATTATTGATGTTTCTCTCTCTCTC